CAGAACAGATCCCTCTAATTAACGAGACAATCGAGATATTTTTTTAAGCATCTGGACTTCACTTGAATTTAAAATTAAAAAAGTGAATTAGTCTATACATGATCACCCCCTGGTAATCTTGAAATCTTGTTATATGAAATTCCAGTTATAGATGAGGTGAAATATTTAGGTGTGGTTATAACAAAAGACTATTCTTAATTCCTGGTTGCAGGGGGATTTATCAATCTTTGGCCGATCACTAAAGTGAAATACCTTTTTGAATAATGTGCCCTGCTTTTTCATTAGATATTTCTGACAATTCAATTCAATCTATAAATCAGTCCAATTTCAACTTCATCTGGAAAAACAAATATCACTGTCTTAGAAAAGTGATGTATTCAAATCCTTAGAGGAAGGGGGTTTAAATGTGATTATCAGCTTTCTCCATAGAGCCTGTTAGCATAGCTTCCAAGAAATATGGCGGACGTTAAGTTTCGATTCTGGGAGTGAGTTCCCACCCACTGATCTGTGATTGGTCTTTAGCTTCAGTGGTGAGGAACTAGCGTTGTAGTTTCACACCGCTAACCACAACAGCTTCCAGTGATGCAAAATGACGATTTTTGCGTCATCGGATGCTCCTTCTCAGACTTAGAAATACAAAGATTTCCCATCTCAGGGGAAAATGAGGGCGAGATGCACGACCATTCAAAAATACAACCAGGTTTCTAATGATGCAAAGCTTAATGCAAATGGAACAAGTATCCCTTTAAGGCAATTCCTCAAGGAATTGTAAATATGGTGAAAGGCACGTTAACATGACAGGATAAAAGAAATGTACAAATAAGATTATTAGAGGAATTCTAACTTCTGAGCTCTTTCCAGTTTCATTAAAAAGAAAACATTTATTAACAGAAATAAAATACTGAAATATTCTTTTGAAAATATTTCACCAAAAGCAAAAGAAACACATTTTAAGATAATAAATTACATTTATCCTTGTAGAGAATTTCTTAGAGAAATATTTAATATTGAAAAAAACAATTGTTTGTTCTGTGATTATGAAAATGAAACTCTAAAACATGTATTGTATAATTGTGAATTCACAATATCTTTTTGCAGTTAATTTCAAAATTTGATATCTATAAAAGACTTGAATTCACTAAATTTAAAATAAATCAATATAACATTTGGCATGTTAATGGAGGACAGAAAAAAGGGAAAATGTATAATACAGTAATTATTTTGGCCAAACAATATACACACCAATGTAAATTTTTGAAAGTCAAGCCACGCTTTTTATTTTCATGAATTTATTAAAAACTTTAATTAAAAAAAAACAGCTTGTGAACTAGAGTGGCTCCACATGAGCCTTGGGGTCCATTGGAATTGGCACATTTCAAATCCTTTCTAACCCTAACCATCAACTCCTACCACCCATCCATATTTCACTGGGGTCAAAAGACAGGCTTTGCTTAAGAATTCAGTGCCAGGTTTTGATATACTCCTGAGAGAATGCTGTGCATCTTCACCCTCTGTTTTTTGATCAACTCAGCCACAGCCTGTACCAAATTGCACCTAGAGTAATACCTGGTGCATGATATTTGTGCTGGACAATTGCGATACCAAGGGTTTAATGGCTCTGGTAGTTCGTAAAAAGATCACTGTCATAACCGGGATACAATTATTCCTGCTTTGATCTACATATTTGACCAGATATGATACATTTGGCAGCAAGGGCAAAGTACCAGGGGCCTCATGTATAAAACACTGCACAACTTTTATCCCAAAATTGGGAAAAAACGTATGTACAGAAATTTCCACAAAACACGCCTGTTCCTGCGCACCTTTCCTTTATACATCCCAATTAACCAGTCCCTCCAGGAAGTTGCAATGTCGCAATCGCAACAATTAACGCAAATTCAACCAATCCCTGTGAATTGTGGGCGACATTGCAATATTGTCCAATCACCGCAACCTTTCTGCAAGTTTGACCAATCAAAATAGTTTCCCCCGCCAGTCTCACCTATGATAGCAGTCGCCAGCGAAAATGGCGAGCCATACGTCACCAAAGTTTACTCACTTCCTTGTTTACATACAGATGCAGACATGCCCAACACACATTTACCTACAAAAACTACAGCTAAGGACCGTGCAAGGCAATTCCCCAATGTTCTGGACGGAAGCAGGGGTAAACTTCTTTCCCCCCAGTGCAGCGTTGTGGTGGAACACAAACAAAAGTCAACGATCTACCGCAAAACACACCAGGAGAATGACTGAAACGCACGGACAACATACAAGACAAATCACAGTGAAAGAGGCTGCTGCATCCAGATCGAATGAAACAAGGCGAGTTAAATAAATAAGCATGGGTAGATATTGTCTGTTTAGGGTACAAACGGTCTGTGTGTGTGTGTGTGTGTGTGTGTGTGTGTGTGTGTGTGTGTGTGTGTGTGTGTGTGTGTGTGTGTGTGTGTATTAATGAAAATAGATCAGATGAAGAGTGAGTGTGTGTGTGTGTGTGTGTGTGTGTGTGTGTGTGTGTGTGTGTGAGAGAGAGAGAGAGAGTCCCTGAGTGAGGCAGAGGAATATGTTAACTTCACAAAGCTAATGGCTCTGCTCAGGTTCAAAATCTAGGCATCACTCAATCACATCAAAGCCTGTTTAAGAAAATAAGTTTAATAATAAAAAGTCTCGTTTTTTTTTTTACATTAAAAAATCGCAACTAGTGTTGCAATTTTCGCATGCTGCCGCAATTTAATTGCAAAAAATGTCTAAAAACATCGCAACATGTGTTGCAATTTTTTTGAAAAGCTCTCGCGAAATCAGTCATTTTAGGCCGCAACAATCCCCCAAAAAGTCCGCAGGAGGGACTGATTAACGTGAAACTGAGCGCAGCTGCACGAGCCATTTGGCCCCGCCTTGTCTCCTCCCATTAGTATCTATGCAAATTACTATAAATACGCCGCATGCTACAGACTATGGGCCAGATAGTGATGCAAACGGAACGAGAACAGAATAAAAAAAAGAACGACGTTCATTGTGGAATAAGTCACACATTAAATTATCTTGTTAAATAATGAGGAGAAATGTTTGCCTTTTTATCAACTTCCCTCATTGTTTCACGTTCTGTGTATCCTAACGGTGCTGTATAGCTGCATTTGGCTCTGTGTTAGGTGCCGGTGCCGGTGCCGGGCCAGTGTCAGGGTCGTCCATCTGTAGCTCCTCAGGCACAAGCACACCACGTTTGGCACACAGTGCACAGGAGGTGGGAGTGCGACTCGCTTTCTTTGTGTCGTGAATATCTGTGCGCCTCGGAGTCTGTACAGTCCCTGATGTGTGTTAACATCTCCATGTCACAAAAATAGCGAATTTGGTTTTGGCACAGAGGTTAAGGCATCTGTTTGTTTAGATGTTGTTGTTGCTCAAACTATGAAAAATATGTTTGAATTTACCCCACTTCATGAAAACAGTTCAGTAAATTGAGTGGCAAATTTATTATGGCTCATCTGGCAAGTTAAAAAAGTGGAGCTAAGAGTTTGCGGGATGGTCCGCACATGCTCACGGCTGGTATAGAGTTTGCATCAGGGTCAGCACATTCTCATGTCACGTTGAGTTTTATACATCCTGACGTGTGCGTGAAACACAGCTTACTCAACATTTTAGTGCGCACACACCAATTATACATGAGGCCCCTGCTATATTCAAGTGGCAATCACTGGTGTTGAAAAATGAAGCCGATTCGGCAGCTCGTCGAGTGTCCACTTGAGGCAATTTTACAGCAGAAATTAACATGTTTAAAGAAAATAATTCTCGATCGGCACACAGTTTAAAAAAAATAAATGATCAGTTTTGATTTTATGAAGGATAAGAGTTATTCACAAATAAGGTGTAGCTGACCTGAAAGTAACAGATGGGTGACATCATACAGGCTTTGTCCATTAATATATATAAAGTTTATCTTAACAACAACAAGCAGAACATGGATCCACAGCTCAAGTACAGGTACACTCACACTGAAAGATCTCCACTTAGAAACGCCAAACTGTGGGAGACGAGCAGACGGCTTTAAGGGATCCAAATAAATTTGCAGTTTAAAAAAAAATTATAATAATATATATAATACATGCTTCCTTGTTGCACTCATTAAGATCTTATCCGAAGAGATGTCTGTAAAAAATGTAAACTTAAATTTTAAAAGTCAAATGTCGGGTTTTCATCAGGCTATGGCCCATAAATACAGGATATTGGATGGGCTGGGTCGGGCTCAGAGAGAACCTGCATTGGCTCGGTTCGGGTCGGGCTGGATATTTTGGTCATGATCTAAGCTCTAATTTGACATTGTGGAATAGTATTGTTTTCTCATAAGTATTCGAGATATTGAAATCAACAAATAAAGCTACTTTTAAAAGTACATGTAAAAGTGGGCTTGGCCGTTTTTCCACAAAGAAGTGGATTTTGTGCTTAACAAATGATTGCAATGAATTCAGAAAACTAGAAGAAAAAAACCCTAGTTTGACCCCTCACAAGCTACCTTAGGCAGATGCCATCATTTTCAATTTTTCACCAATAATGTTCTGGGTACCCCAACTTTCAGCAGCTGTCACAGATTTTCCTACAGGAGTTGGATTTAGATATTTTTACATTTGTTGTAAGACACCTTTAAGAACACATTTGTGAATACATTTCTTGATAAGGAATTTATTCCCAGATTTGCCAAATATCTAATAAAATGTCTCACTAATGCCTGGAACTCCCAACAGTAAATATGGTCATTGAGCTTCACATGATAATTGAAGTAATGCCAAATTCTACTCAAAGTAATTTAATGTTGAACTTAATTCATATTTGCAGCCTCCCTTAATAATTCAGGTGAAACTGCTCAGAGAAGCACAATTAAAAATCATTGTTTGGTTTTATTTTTTAAACGGTATAAACAAATACATGTATCTAAATAATATGCATGAACATAGCTTCCAAATTGCATGCTCAATTTTTATCTTATCCATCACTGTTAAAACTACCTTGGGCACTTTGGAAGTAAATCTCCTATGATGTTGCAAGCTTCTTTTTCCTCAAGAGCGGGACATTGTTTTCCCCCTCCAATTGGGATGTGTGTCATAATCCTTGATCGTAGGCGGTAACCGGGAGACAGGTCAGTGGACCGGCAGGTCTTTGAGCATGGACTCCACAATGACCAATCAGACATCTGACAGTCTTTTGGCATCACACAAGTCTGGAAGGTTAAGGGGTAGTTGTCCTTTGTACAGAGACTAAAGATTGAGAAGATTAGGGAAAACAAGAAGAAAATAATAATACAATTTAACACAACTAAAACTTTTTCTTAACATCATATTAAACCTGTCCATGGCTTAGAATTGAGCATGAGACAGGAAAAAAAATTGTGTTTGATTTTCATTAACTTGCTATGAGGATTTTTTATATCTGGTTATACCCTCCTGAGACCCAGAAAAATTATACGATAAAGGACACAAAACATGTGTCCTTTGCAGTGGACATCAGGATCTGACAATTTCCCATTTTAGGCAGACTAACCCCTATTCCAGTAATTCAACATAGCATAACATATCAACATAATTGGAACACAGTGTTTTTTAGAAGTAGGAAAAGTCTCATTAAAAGGCTTCTGTTTCTTTCATAGGAAAAATTCATGAATTTCATGTGTCTAGTTAAAACATTCCTCTAATAGTGCTTTCACACTTGCAAAAACCTTCTGAAAAAATCCTGAAAGTTTTCAGGATGAGCTGCATGTGTGAACGCTATCAGCCAAATTTTTTATTTGCACTTTATCCGGAGTAGGCCTGTCTCCTGCCAGCCCCCTAATTTTTTTAAGCCAAAAGTCTGAATGAGGCTAATTTGAGAACGCAGCAGGATATAATCAGTAGAATTTACCTCGAGCGTGTGGGAGGGGGTGGTGAGCTTTATTCCCCACATTTCTCACACGATCTCTGTGCATGTAATAACTTGGCTGCATTATGTTTTCTGTTCGCCAGTATGTTGTTCTCCGCTTTTTATTTGAAATCCTGATTATGTTATATTGAACTTAACACAGCATTGATAAAAAGGCAAATATTCTTACTATAGCATTGTACACAGAGGCACTGCTTGTCAACACGCAAGGCCGGCATCTACTTGGGGCCACTGACCAGTATGGGGGCCTCACAGACTTAAACCAAAGCAGTGTGCAAAGCTTTTAAGGGCAGTAAAGGGGCCCCGTCTGACAGCACTCACCCTCGTTGTCCTGCTAAGCATTGCATGCATTATTGCTGTGAAAACCAAAGTTTGTCAATGAAAGCCAACAAAGTAAAATTAAGTGAAATTATCCATATTTACTGTCTTTCGGCTCCTAAGATGACATCCATATTGAAATGTCGAACTTTTGCGGTGAACGACACACCCCAACAAATAAAAGCTCTTTGACAATCCCAAGATATTCCCTACAGTATATAGCACAACCGGTTTCAGCTTGATAGCTCATAAAGATTAAAAATTAATAACTGGACCTCAGGAGGATACAAATGCCATATGCTTGAGGACCTACTAGTTAGCATTTGCATTTCAGATAAATTACTTTTGCAGCTTTTATTTCCACATTACAATATTACAACTGGTATACATAAGGGAGGCTTCTAAGAGCTACTATATTAGAAATATTACTAAACAATTCAATTTGAAATGAAATTACATCTCCAGTTGTGATACAGTGCCCATGACACTAATCATGAAATGGCATCATTCTAACAGATTGTAATTGAATGACAGGCAAAACCAGATTTAAACATGGTGCTTATTCTGCATCTTTACACTTAGTATTATTTAGTTAGAAAGTTCAGAGACCGTTAACGTTTCTTAGTTCTCCTTGAAAAGAAATGGAAAGATGGAAATTGGTAATTTTATAAAAGTGTGCATGTATGTGTGATGTGCGTGTGTTTATGCATTGTAACGTGTGTGTGGCTGCTAGTATGACTTTTCATGTATTCATTGAAAATTGAAAACTTTCATGAATGTATTACTTGAATCTGTCTTGAATCATCTTAGTGTATTCTTCCTTTATATAAATAAATCTATATGGCTGAAGATTCCAAGAATAGACAATGCCCCCTTTCTAGCCTATTAGAAGTGTACCCAAGAGGAAAGGAATTTGTAGGCATGTGCCTGCTAACAGAATATAATCAAAGCTATTAACATGAAAACTAAAATTTCATCATTCAATATTTAATGAAGAAACACCTCTACTTAACAAAGACAAATCAGATGCAAGCATGTCAGATTCTTTCATTACAGTCCCGCACAGTTGTTTGCACGTGCATTAAGTAAGTAATGCAGGCAGCTGCACTTACACCTGATCTGCCCTGGTCTTACCAGCTTGAGTAATTATAAAACCCATGTGTGAGTGAAATGGGTGCAAAAGAAACACAGATTTTTCACTATGTGCACAGCTCCTACATGCTATTTTTTCCTTCTTGTTGTGTGAGAAATGCATTACATTGCATCACTTGAAACTGGCTTACCTCAGCATAGAACTTTTGCCATCACTTCGTGTACAGCTGACTTGTCTTGTACGGTATCCCACCTCCAGTTCCCATGACATTGGGTGCCTGTGTGACAGAGACTGCTGTTGGTGCTGACGAAAGGGGTGCTGAGCTTCTTTGTGCAGTGTGATTGTGTTGTTTTCAGAGCTGGTGTTGGAGTCCAATGTAGTCCTGTCTGTTACCAGGGCATCCTTGTGATGTAGGAGTCTGCAATGACTCCAAGCCCCGACTTTAAGGCTGTACTGGTATTCACTTTCTCCGATGGGGCAGTGAACAGTGGAAAAACAAGACCTTGTGTCAGTCAGGTTTGGGCAGGTTGTTCCACCATACAGTGGTGTGGCCAGGACATATCGAGTCCTGTGTTGCAGGCCAGCACCACAAGTTTTGCTGCATCTTGACCAGGAGGTAAAGTCTGACACTACACAGTCCTGTGGGCAGGGGATGAGGCATGCCTGCTCTGCAGGGGGTTTTGGGGAAAAAAACTCACATATCCTCGCAGTGACAGTGGTACGATTTAAAGTGCGTACACAGTTGACTTTGCGCCCCTGAATGCCATGCTGTGCTGTAATACACTCAGTAGTTCGAAGATTGAGCTTGTTGAAAAAAAAAGGGACAAGAACACAGCGGCCCCAGTCTGACACCTCCCATTCAAAGAGGTTCTGGTGCCAGTCACAGACCTTAAAGCAGTCCTGTTGCCTTTCTGGCTTGTCTATGTGCTGGCAGTGAGAATAGTGGGTAGTCCAACCCTCTGTGTGGACACACCATATTGTCCTTGTCTGAACCCCACCAGAACCACATTTCTCCCCGATACACTGACCCCACTGCCCTGCAACCAAGAAAGGACACATGAAGAGAATATTTTCATTAAAACCTGGAACTTAAAAAAAATGCTTAAATTGCAACTTCCCGGCAGCTTGCAATCAAGTATAATTTGGCATCATTCAACTCAATGATCGCTTCATTCATTAATGAACTGGGGAAGAAAGTAACAAAATGTAATATATTGTGGACATCAACATATTAACTGATTAGTTCATTGGCCACAGAAAATTTGATTTCCTTGATCTTAACTGATCAATATCTTAAGCTGCAACCTTACTGTTCAGTAACATATTTTTGTAAGCTATGTCTGTCTCTAACTTGCTTGACATAAACATTTTGAAAACTGTTAAGATCTGCTCTGCAGTTGTTTTAATTTCATGAACCTTCAACCTTCAAGTACTGTTAAAAAAAAAAAAAAAAAAACTATCAAATGTAGTTATTGTAATTATTATTCACAAGTCATGAGAACGTAAATATCAGTCATAGCAATTTTGGAAGCTTTGAATAATTCTGCCAGTCAATTGCAAATTGTATCATTAAATGTGTTCAAGTTAAACAGTGTGTCAGCTCCATTAATTAATTTTCAGCATGTGCTTAATAATGCATATTATGAACAAATGACAAGTATACTGTAGCTATATTTAAGAATACTGATGTGAAATGCTATCAAACGTCTTAGTAAAATCCCTCCTGTTGTGAAGAAAACACACAAAATGACAGTAAGTTAAATGAAAAAAACATTGTCAGTCCCAATACTGATATAATGAACAAACTCTAGCCTAAACAAGTTCAGTTAGTGGGCCTGTTTAAAAAGACTGGAAGGGGACTTCCGGTTTGGTGAGAATGTGAGAGGGACGCCAGCCTCAGGGTCCCTTGCCAGTCTACTTAATCTTCTATGTAGTCCTTTATCCCAAACAACTTTCATTTTTGTTTCATTAACCTCCCCACGAGGCTGAAAAAGAAGCTATGCCTGAGTCCAGCAACAATGCGGACACTAACATTGTTAGCATGCTAGCTGACTTTTAGACTAAAATTAAGCTTTGCAACAATGGAGGAGAAACTGGACAAAATACAGTTTATAATAACAGAACACGGTCACAAAACAGAACAGAATTACGGATACACCGCTATCAGGTGAAAGACCACATCATCAGTACACATCTTCGAAGACTACACTCCGGAGGTGTTGGAACAGCGAGTGAAGTATATGTCGTTATGTCGAAACTGTACAGTTTAGTCCTTAAACAGTCTCTGCTATACCCGACTGACGATCACAATCCAGAACTGGGCTCGATAACAGTTCTCATCACCGCATGAGGCCCAAATGTTTGCAGCCAACTACCAGCAAAAAGAAGAAGCTAACTAGCCTAGCTGCAAGATTGGCTAATGCCGATTCTGCACACAGTCTTGAACAATGTAATGAACAAAGACATTATTCCCACTAGTAAATTTATCTTTGTCAGAAGACTGAGGAGAAGTAGGAAAGATATGTTAATGTATCAAAGGAAGGAAAACAGTGCAAAAATATAGAAAATGTAATACAATTTTATCGGTAGCCAATTTTTGATGAAAAAAAAAAAGAACAAAAAAGACACATTAGATGGAATCGTTGGTTTTAAAAGGTATCGTTGTAAATTTACTTTTTTTATTCTGTGTCCTGACTGCTTTAAAACATAATTTCAGTTAAACATGGCAAGACTAAAACAGAAAATATTGAGTTACACTTGCATCCTAAAATGCCTTGCAGAAAAAAAATATGAGCAGTAATCTACAGTTTTGCTTTACATCTTTAAGTGTAAACATTGAGCTGCTGATTGACCTGCTATTATGGTCGGTGATGGCTCTGTTTTTTTTTTTTAAATAACCACTCCATCATCATCATGACCACATGTGCTTAATGGTGCTGTTTCATACTATGGCTGTATATGTGTTTGATTTATGGAGCTGTGATTGGGAGAGATTCAGCTGTCAGGCGAGCCAGCTAACACCAGCATTATTTCATCTCCAAAGCTCTGAATAATCACTGTCGATCTATCACCATCAGCTTCTACCTACACCTCAGGGGAGACCATTCACCAGCAGGTCTCTCCTTTCCGTCGCATTTAGTTGCCATTCTTACCTCCAGGGAACAGCAGTTCCCTCGGGGGCCCCTGCTGTATTTACTATTCCATTAACGTTCTAGAGTAAGGAAAAAATAACTTGTCAAGAGGCTGAGCAGACTTAAAGTATTTCCATTTTCAGAAGTGTTGAGCTGAACCCTTAGAGTGGACAAACGATAGCAAAACTATTCAGCAATTACAAGTATCACGTCACAAGAAATATCTACAATGCCCCAAAACCCGAACGGAAGAAGTACACAAATTAGTAAACAATCGCTTAAACACAAACAAACAACACTCGGTAATGAGAAAACTACAATCTTCAACATTTAATCTTCTGTCTCTGTGGTTCTTTTAATTACATTTGGATAATAGTTTTCCAACTTCATTTTGCTATTTTGGAGCCCAAAGACAGCTGGGGCCACAGTACAAAGTCGGGGTATAATTAGCAACATACATAAAAGGGTAATATGATTATTAAAAAAAAATTAAATGTGGCAAATTTCATCAGAGCTAAACATAAGTTATGTCCATAACCATGGATCCATGAGACAGAACAATGACTGTCACCACAGTCTTTACCATGAATGATACCATCCTTCTACCAAAACATCAACAAAATCATGTGACTGTCCTTAGGGGGCTGGCCCCACAGCATATAAGCATCCGCGGCAGACACCTCTTCCTCTTGCCTGGAACGCCTCAGCCAGTTCCGATGGTGACGTTCATCGTTTGGTCTCATAGATCAATAGTTATGGACATAACTTATGAACTCAGACTGTTCCAACGGTCTTTACCATGGATGAGTTGTGGCAACAATATTGTGAGGAACTTGTGATTCCACCTGACCATTTTGCTCAGCAGCTGACATAAAACCATGACGCTGCCACACATATGTCAATGACACCAACCTCCTTCAAAGCTGCTTGTGGAGTGAGTCCCCATACCCTCAGTGACAGGGAACCCCTGACATGAATAGGCCTAGTTTCAACAAGCCAGTGGGACAGGCACTGTCTAGACAGTGGATGGCCCAATCGCATATTACCATGACATACAAACATCTAAGTGTGTGCCTGCCTCAGCTGCTGTGTACGATCCAACATATTCCCTCAATGCTCTCACTGGGCACAGTGTATAAAGAGCTTTCCTCCTTGGCAGACTGGTTTAGTGTGAAATGCCAATTAGATAGCCTGATTCACTGTATAAGGGCTTAACACCTTCGGAAGGAAAAACAGTTTCGTCGACAGCATTCTCAGGTTTCCACCTCAAGTATCACACTCACAGAAAGTGGCAGATGTAGCACACTTATGGAGATAGAATTGTCTCAAAAAGATGTATACATATCCAAATGATATGTATAAATATGCATACATTTATAATGTATAATGTATTCATAATGGATGCACAGTATGGCGATGTACTGTATCACTAGGAGATTAGGTGGCTGAGTTGTGGCAAAGTTCTGAAGCGATTTTTTTGATCTGTGTCTGCAATCAGAGATTTTCCCGCCAGGAAGGACAGTTAAACTCAAAAGCCCTTGGATAAAAAATGACTCTGTGACCTTGCTTTTCTGGTGGACATCACGAACCTGCTCAATGTGTTAAATGTTCAGTTTCAAGGAAAGGACCAAGCAAAAACAAGCGAAAACACTTTGGAAAAACGATCTGGTGTGTATGACGTTAGTATTGAAAACTGGGGGGGGGAATATTTGTTTCTGTAAATACCCAGCTATGTGTAAATGTGGCCTGAGTATGCTGCACTTCTCAGCCACCTATCCCAGGAGTTTGACATAAGCTTTGAGGACTTCATGGACAGTTCAGCTGTTTTCCCAGCCCTTCATCGTTAGTGGGGACTGATGTGGGGGATAGTAAGTGATGACCTTCAGATGGAGCTGATTGACTTTCGGTGTGACTCTGAGCTCAAAAAGAAATTCAGCTCTCTCCACCTAATGACTTCTACAAGTGTGTCCCAGCAGACAGGTACCTTAAGATGCTCTACCTCTTTGGCAGCACCTACCTCTGTGAACTGACTTTCAGTCTTGTGAACTTAAACAAGAATAGGCTCAGAAGCTCACTTACTGACACTCACTTGCAGAACATCCTCACCATGTCAGTGAGTCCGTGAGTCTAACATTGACAGACTTCTGAAAGGCAAGGACCAGATGCATGTATCTCACTAGTGGTCTGGTCACTGACATTGCAGTTAGTCATTCACTGGATAACTAAAGTTGAGAACTGAATACTTGCTATATATGTGTGTACTTCTAGTTTTTAATTGTATTAAACCAAGTGACCTGCACTTGAAAATGTAAGTGCACGGCAGCTGACTTGTTAAATAAACGTACTTAGCAAAGTATTAAGTATTTCCTTCAACAGGGACACCACCTCCGGTGACATTAACAGAATATCACATTCTGAAAAGGCTATTCTGCTTTTTTAAACTCCATTTAAAACATTATCACTATGTAATGTTACATTAATAATGATCTGGAGTGCGAGTTCACTGTAGCGCTCTACACTTCTTCAGAAGAACAGCTGTGAAAAGGAGGGGAGGGAGGGAGAAGAAAGGTGCTGTGTAGCTCGTGACGGATGCTTCGCTGACATTCGCTGAACAGCTGCTGCTCTGCGCTTTGTGTACATTTTCCAAATGTTTAAAAAAAAAAAAACGTTTAAACGGTTAGCGATTTTATTCATCTTTAAGTGTTTTTGTAAACGTTTAGCGTTCAAACATTTAGAAGCCACACCACTACTTACCTCCCATGAGAAATGTACTGAACATGTAGAATATTTTCATAAATGGAAAGAGCTGGATGTAAGATTGGCATCACCAAACACAATAGATGCACAGAGTCAACAGAGACTGGCTGCCGAAACAATACATTTGCAAAATGTATTGCAGCCCTTGA